GGGGGGGGGGGGGGCTCTGGCCCGCTCCGGCTGACCCAAACGATGTTAGAGCTCCGGTTGAGGCGCCGACATCCGATGGTCTCAGCTCTGTTAGTCGGCTGCCAAACCCTGGCCCGGCCAGACAAAACAGTCCAATGACCGGTGCGTGGAATGAGAGTAGCGCTTCAGTCATTGGGTATTTTGCGAGAGCACGTGTCATGGCATGGGTGCCTTCGCCCTTCAGATAAGCTGCTATACCTATCAGCTCCTCTTGTGCGTAGGTGGTGATAAATCGTACCATAAGGCATATGAGCTGCCTTGCCTCAATAATTTATCTAACGGTTCCAGTGTTTGGTTGTTATTTAAAGGGAAGCAATCCTCGCAAGTTGTGCTCGATGCAGCAAATAAATGCCATGTATTATTCTCCTATATATTTTATCGTAATGATATGTGTTTTGAAAAACATGCTCTTATTGTAACCCCCAAATTTTATTTGTTTTGGCGAGCTCAATACACTCAAGAATTACAATCCTTCCTGGCATCTGGTCTACGTGTCTTGTACCACGTCTCACAGATCCTGTCACTTTGCTGAACACACGAAACACTTCTACGTAAATATCACGAACGCTAAAATTTATTTTGGTTTCATCATGTCATGTTGGCATGCCGATAGGGTCTGGTCTATCACGCGGTGATGCAGGTTGAATTTAGTCGGCAGATTTGTTCGTCTATATTTAACTAATCGCTCCGTCAACTATCATTATATTTTGGGATAAAGACATTCTGAAGAAGTATTGGTTCGGTCCACAAGTATGTTTCCGTTATGCAGGGAAAATTGACATGTGAGCCCAACGGTTAAGTGTGTTATGGCCTAACGATGATCCACGGGACATTTTATTTCAAAGGGCTAAAACGTTTTTTTTTTTTCTTATTGCAGCCAGTATCACAACAGCTCTGAGAAGGGTGTGAGAATGCATGCGACTGTGTGGGCATATGACACTATGCTGCAAAGCACGGGAATACCTACTTTCCAAACTACCAAAAGGCATATCACTGCGGTGCAGCTTACAGCCGCATGTGTCACGGTCACTCACGAACAAGGCGAGATTCTCCCAAGCGCTTCGCCTTCCGGCCTATCAACAATTGTCTGGAGTTGGAAAGACAATATTCGCAATTCCAGTTTTTCATGTATTTTAACTTGTGCCTGTTCGTCTTGGAGGCAGTTTTTCGTCTGTCTTCCATTTACGTTTTGATCCTTTCTTCCAACAATGTTTTTCTCTGCGTCTCTCTCTCTCTCTCTCTCTCTCTCTCTCTCTCTCTCTCTCTCTCTCTCTCTCTCTCTCTCTCTCTCTCTCTCTCTCTCTCTCTCTCTCTCTCTCTCTCTCTCTCTCTCTCTCTCTCTCTCTCTCTCTCTCTCTCATCATTTCTGTTCACCTTCCAGTCTCATCCCCAGCATTACCTTTTGTCTGTCAGTCTGTCTGGGTGTCTGACTAACTGGTTGACTGGCATGGGTGTAGTTTTCCAAAAATCATTGGGGGTGCTCAATAGCTTTCAGAAAGGCATGCCATAGTTCTTGTAGTTTTTTTTAGCTGTTCTTTTTTGCTGTAGCCATCAGGCATCTGCATCATGCAAGAAATGATGTTAAATCGGTTCGAGAGCTTGTTTTAATAGCGCCACTGTAAAACAATTTTGGCTCACCCGCGCGGGGCCGGGGTCTCCAGCCGAAAGCGCGGGGTTGGGGGATAAATTTTACCCCCCTGTTATCTCCCGAACTAATGGTCCGATTTGGAAAATTCAAACGCCAGTCGAAGGATCTCATCACGAATAACTAAAAACATGTAGTTAATTTAAAGTTTGAGGTCAAGGTCAAGGTCAGGTCAAGGGTACAAATTGCAAGTTTCTACAGTATCGGCCTTGCACCGTAGTTGCCGAAGAATGGAGTCATGGGCGGCCCTGATCGGCGGCCGGCTAGTACTCTTGCCCGCGCTCACATACGTGCACGTTACCCCGGCAACGGGCTATTGACCAATGAGAAGCGAGAAAAGTGTTACGTCACTGCGATTTTTCATATACCTGTGCCCCCCGGACGTGACGTAGTGTGCTCGCGCGCGTGCAGGGTCTCTGCGATCGAAAAAGAGCGCTAGCAGCGCGCCACTCGACGCCGCAATTGTCAAAAGCGGCGTGTTAGTATGCTTTATTATGAATGATGTGAGTGAAAGTGAGTTTTTATGTTGTTAATTTGGAGGAAATGGTTGGAATAAAATATGTTATTTTTATTTCTATTGGTTGGAGTTTTTATTCAAAAGATTTTGGTCTATAGCATTGATATTTACTGAAAATACCTTCGCTTGAATAAATTGCAGATATTTGGCAACTGAAGTGTTAGGTAAGCCTAAATGATATGTAAAAAGGTAAGAGACACCCTGATTATCATTTGAGAAACGAAAATATATGAATTTTCCTTATAAGACTCGCTCAATACGCTACTCCGCGGTTTATGCCCCGAGGGTGTCCGAGGGTTCCCGTTAGTTTGTCGTTGGCGCTCGGCTCGCGCGCGAGCCGACGTCACCGCCTGTGACGTCGGCTCGCGAAATACGTCATACCCTGCACACAAAATAGCCGGCTGCCGAACAGCGCTATGGACTGAGACTGATTGCCCAAAACGTGCTTGGGCCTGACCTTGGCCATAAGTTTGGCAGGCCAGATTTTGTAATGGACCATTTTGAGTCAACTTTGAGAAATACATAACGTACAACGGTGGTAAAATCGTTGCTATAGGTATAACACAGTTTACCCGCTCCGGGTGTGAGGAAGGGATGTGGGGCAATGAGTGCACTGACGTGGCGCCCTCGGAGGGCCGGTATGGGATTAAAGCTCAGCTACACTAAGGGCTTGTGTGATGCCTTCAGTTATCGGTGGCACCCTCAGAATGACCGGCGTAGGGCCCTCAGAGCCGCCGGTAAGGGAGGCACCGGTGTGGGGCCGCCATGCAGGTGCCGGTGTGGGCGATCAGAGGTGCTAGTGTGATTCTCTCAGAGGCGCCGATGAGGGTCCTTACAGGCGTTGCTCCGAGCCCTCATAGACGCTGGTGTAGAGCCGTTACAGACGGGTGTGGGGCCTTTAGAGCTGCTGACGCGAACTCTCTACAAGCCGGCAGGGGGTCTCAGTGACCGGCAAGGGGTCCTTAGCGGGCTTAGGCCGGCAGAAGAAGTCCTGCGGGGTCCTAAGAGACCGGAATGGTACTGTTAGACGCCGGTGGGGCCCTCAGGGCTCAGGGTCACCGTTGTGGGGCCCTCAAGTCATCAGTGGGTGGCCTTTAGATGCGCAGGTGTTGGGTGGGTCCTCAGAGCCGCCGATATAGGGCTTTAATAGGCACTGGTGTAGGCACTCGGAGTTGGGGGTGTGAAACCCTCAGACACCGGTGTGGGCCCTCATAGGCACCGATGAGGGCCCCCACAGTTGCCGTTATGGGGCCCTCAGAAAAATAAGTGTGGGACCATCACAGGTGGGAAATGCCCCTAGAACTGTCCCCTCATAGGCCGGTAAGACCTCTCAGGGGCCAGTAAAGGCTGAAGCAGACTCTTTCCGCGTTCAGGAAATCGCATGCGAGAGCCTATTCAAATACATTGTAATTCCTCTCGCATCAATCGCTCGCGGGAGGTGCGTGCGATTAATGCGAGCGTGCCTCCATGTATTTGAATAGGCTCTCGCATGCGATTTCCTGACTGCGGAGTCTGTTTCAGGCTTAACGGGCCTTTGGAGACCACCGAAGTGTCCTTAAAAGCCGCAAGAGGGCCAAGAGGCCCTCAGAAGTCGGCGTGGGGCCCTTATGGAGACCTTAGTGTGGCTATTTAGGGCCCATGAGGTGCTCTAACGAGCCCCACGGGGCTCTTCTGAGTAGAAATATGGCCATCGTTAACCCTCAGCGGTCAAATGGCGCCGCAGGGCCTCTCGGACCCGAGGGTCCCTTTGAACTCGATGGGGGGGGAGGGGGTACGTGTCCCCTTAGACCCCTAGCTATGCCACTGTTTCATATGCATCATGTCAGGTATTTTAGGCTCGCCCCCCCCCCCCCAACTTGAAAATCGTTCGCGGGCCCCTGATAATATCAGATGTAATGTTAACACAAATATCATGCATCTTAATTTGTTGTGATTTATTCAATGTATATTCTCTTAGTCACTGAATTGAGTAAGCATAGTATTTGCATGATTCACTGGGCTCATTACAGTACTAGGAGATGGACATTCTGATTATTGAGGGCCTTGAGTCAGCTGGGAATGTTTTGAGGAGGCTGTGGGTGCTTTAAGAAGGCAGGGGGTGCTGAGCTCAGGATTGGGGGTGCTTGAGCACCCACAAAGAGATATAAAGTTACGCTTATGTGCGTATGTATGTGTGCATGAATGCATGCATTGTTTGCGTGAATGCATGCTAACATGTATGTCAATCTATTCATATTTTGATCTGTCGGTCTGGCAATCTGTCTGTCTTTTGCCCTTCCATCCGTCTATCAAACACGGGCGGTAGTTCGCCGATATCTTTCCAATATCTTCATCAATTGCTGCACTAGCGGTTCGGACACGTTTCTCGTGTAGCGCATGACTGTGCAGTTGTTGTTTAAGACGTCTAGCCCGTCACAACCGTCTCAGACAGTGATGACGACACGGCAGTCACGTCTGGTGACGTCACGAACGTCAAGATCTGTGACGTCAGGTGTTCCGTGTCAACTACAGAGCCGGAAACTGAACGTCGAGTGCTCAGACAGTTTGGTCGGATCAGATGGTGTTGGAATGCAATAGATATCGATAGATTCCCTCGTAGAAATCTGACTCAATGACGCAACTCTAATCGAATTTGGAAGTCATGTGCGACATTGGGCACATGACATATAGTTTTCGTTTCAAATACCTACAATATGAACACGTTATATCGTAGACGATCTAATGATGATGATCGCAGAAATCTGTCTGTTTGTCCATTAACTTTTGCCCCTGTCTCACGGTCTGTCCGCCTCTCCGCAGGGCAATTGGTTCACCTCTGCTGATGGATCCCGACCGCGTGTGTCGCCGGCTGCGACACGCCCGAGGCCGCCGATCGCGCATCTGCCGCCGGCAGCCAGAGGTCATTGAACAGGTGCACAAGGGTGTCGCCCTGGCCACCAAGGAGTGCCAGTTCCAGTTCCAGAACCGGCGCTGGAACTGTACCACCGACAGACGCAGCCTGAAGCGGATACTGATGAAGGGTGAGTGCGGTCGGTTTCACAGCGCCGCGGACTGGATAGCTGAGTGCGACCAGCGAATGATGACAAATGGTGCACTTAGTCACTTGCGAAAGGCGGTATTATTCGCTTTGCAGCGTGATGATGGGGATTAATTTGTCGGCTCTGTATTTGGCGTGTCTCTTGCTTGTATGATTTCCTATCTTTCGTTCATCCATGTGGGATGACAATGTGCCCAGCCCGTGTGTGACGTGAGAAAGTTATCCGCTGAGCATTCCATGCATAAAATTTGATAGTTCTTAAGCCCTATAAACGTCATCATATATGGCTCAACGGCCTTGCGACGACCTCTAAAAATGGCAATTTCCTTGTTCAACAAGCTTTAAGTATAACGGAGAGATTGACATGATATGTATCGTTAGGATGATGAAATGAACACCAAGTTATCGCGTTTAAAGCACGCATCGTTGAACGATGAGGTACGAAAAAGTTGGCATAGTCGCGCTTGCTTAGTGCAAAGAATCACCTACATACGACGCATAAAAGCAGGTATGTACATCATCTCCTTCAATATATTTGATACAATTAAAAATAAATATTTATATTACAAGGTTCCAGATGACCCGTTACTCGTAAGCGCTCGTAGTGGACGATGTCTGATATACGATGGGGGTCTAATTTTCTTCGTCTCTTTCTCGACAGATCTGCGTGAGACCGGTTTCGTAAACGCCATCACGTCAGCAGGACTGATGCACGCCATCACCGCGGGCTGTTCGCGGGGTCACATCATCGACTGCACCTGTGGTCAGTGACGTCTAATCGACACGGCAGATCTGATAATTGCAGTTTTAACGACTATTAACGCATTAGACATTAGCTATTGAAATGTTTTGTAGCTTTATGTATCTTTTCATGCACGTCTGCAATCCGATCTTTTCTCGAAGTCATTATGATATCCTACAACGTTTCCTATTTACACACACACTTTCAGAAAGATTCAGCGTACCGCGCATGTAACCGACGGCTCTCCTTGATGCACAGCAAATAACGGGTGTTCGCGAAAATATGTCATGATTTTATCTGCTTCCTGGAGGACCCTTGTCAAAGTTAGGTGTATTATTTTTTATTCATTCAATTAAACAAATTTTCAAGTTTTGTTTCATGTGTTTTTTAGCTAGTTTGTTCCAACATGTTGCTCTCTACGGACCAGAAAACAAAAATAGTGAAATGGTACTGGGAGACGCAGTCCATTGTGGCCGTCCAGCGACGCTATCGCACCTGCTTTAAAACGTCCACTGCGCCTTGCGCAAGGACGATTTTGCGACTGCAAGAAAAGTTCATTGGAAAGGGCACAGTCAAAAATGAGAACAAGGGACAAAGTGGCAGAAAAAAGTTCAAAAGGGTCCAAAAAAATGGTAAAAAAGATCAAGCAGTTGATCACCAGGGTGCCTTCCAAATCCATCCGGCAGCTCGCGCAAGAAGTTGGGTGCGGCCCCACCCTGGTACATTCTGTCCTTCACACTGACTTGGGACTCAAGCCGTACAAGATCAAGATCCAGCAGGCGCTCTCAGAAGAAGATAAAAAGCAAAGGCTGGCCTTTGCCATGTGGTTGAAGGACAAGGTCAACTCCGATCAACAGTTCACCAGCCGTGTCTGGTTTTCCGACGAGGCCCACTTCTACCTTCATGGAGACCCCAACCGACAAAACAGTCGCCTTTGGGCGGATAATGTACCACCTGAGGCTGTGTCAGAACGTCCACTTCACAGTCCGAAGCAGTGTTCGCCACGGGCCGGGCCAGCCCAACGGGCCATGGGCCGGGCTGGGCTACGGGCTGGGCCGGGCCCCCAAATATCATTAGTTAACGGGCTATGGACGGGCCGGGCCAAGAGCTTTGTGCACTATGGGTTTTGCGACTAACGTCAATTTAAGAAAATTTGGAAACTGATGCAAACAAAACCCACTGGGAAAATACAAAATCTAAACCAAATTTAAGCAATGTGAAAGAAAACCTACTTGATATTGAATTTTGGGAATCTTGAGAATTATCCAATATCACATCATGTCACACATAGGAGGGTTTTCATACAAATTCCGCAACCAAGAAGATCAGAGAATCTCTAGCATCATTAGTTTGTTAATAAAAGTTAAAATGTAGTCATCAGAATAACTTACTTAGCACTAAAACTCCAAAAACTAAGAAGCCACTCAACAATGATGGGCTACAGGGCTACATTAAGTTTAACACTTATATATGGCGATAGTGAGACAATTCCAACACAGTCTTTTTTCCTTCACCGACGGCTTTTTAACGAACAGAACCTTAACAGGATACTCACAAAACACACTGTACGTAACGAAGAACTCTACAGAGTATTTCACGATGAAAGCTTCTTTAAATGTCCATAAATTTGTCAAAATAAATCACAACAAACCAGCGCCTTCTCAACAAAACTTGCAATCATGGCGGCGGCGCTATGTTTATGTGGCGGCATCTAGGTAGTATACACAACAGTATATCAAATAAATACGTTTTTTAAGTAAGTATAAAGGTGAAAAACAAAATTAAACAAATAAAAAATAAAACCTAAATCACGAAGTCTGAAAACTCGAACGAAAAACAAAACAAAAACTTGATCATATATGTTTTATTATACAGTTGGTCAGGATCGCTACCTGCCGCAGCTGCGACAATTAAGAAGTGTTCGTTCATTTTCGATTGATGATGATGATGCGTAAAAGTCGCAAAAGTACCCAATGACATTTCAAGCTTACCATGTTTTCTGCTTACGCTGCTAGCGATATCCATATCTTGAAAAAGCCTAACATAAAATAGCAAGGAAAGTAGCAGATAGTTGTCCACAGAGATTCGGTTGACACGTGGGCATGAGTTGAAAATAGATTAAATCAGTTTTGCTGATAAATGGATGGATTTTCTCTTTTTTTGGAAGACAGTGCTAAAGTGAGTGTCACCTATTTTGTATGCTTTCTCAGGCTTTTGATATTGCAGCATCTATGGAGTGAATTTAACAGCAAGGTCAATCCCAGACAGATTCATCAATTCCCATAAGTTAAGCTTTTTCTGCTGGTAAGTGCTGGGAAGCATAGAGTATGTTGCAAATACTTCCTTCAAGTATGCATTAGAGTCATCAATTATGAATGATAATGTTCACACTTCACACACATCAGCTTGCAAGATAACTTTACTCATAGAATGTAGTTAATATAATCATGTAAACTTTTTATAGGTGTGTAATCATGACCTAATTGACTGAGGTGCTTGCTGTTACTGTTAAAATTTGTGCCATAGGTGCTTGAAATGATTATATTCATTGAAAAGAAGGGAGTCATGATTGCCATGTTAATATTCATGCAGTTTGAATTGTTCTCAAAATAGTGTAATCAATCATGCTTATTATAGCAAGAGACTAAGACAATAACTAGATTGCTATTTTTGACGGGCCGGGCCGGGCTGGGCTTGGAATATTTGCCAAGAGCGGGCTACGGGCTGGGCCGGGCTCTGAACCCATGGGCCCGGGCCGGGCTGGGCTGGGGATTTTGGGGCCCGTGGCGAACACTGGTCCGAAGGTCACCGCTTGGTGCGCGATGAGTGCAAGTGGTGTTGTGGGACCTTTTTTCTTCGAGTCCCCGAATGGATCCACCACCACTGTTGATCAACACGGCTACGCAGCAGTGCTGGAGAAGTTTTGGCAACAGCTGTGCGATCACCAAAAGCAACACAAGATCAGGAACGGCACATATTGGTTCCAGCAGGATGGGGCTCCGGCTCACACTTCCAGACTTGCTCTGCAGTGGCTGGTTGACCACTTCGGAGCTCGTATCCTGAGCAGGAAGACCCCCACCCCATGGCCGGCACATTCACCAGATCTCACACCCATGGACTTCTACCTATGGGGATATCTCAAATCTGAGGTCAGAAAAACGAAGGCCAAGAGTCTGGCCGAGCTCAAGAGAGCGATAACAGAGGCCGCCCGTGCGATCACTACGGACACGTGCGTCCGAGTGATCCGACAAGTGGAAGCTCGGGCCGAGCTTTGCATAAGCCGGAAAGGGGGCCATGTGGAAAACGGGGCGTAGAGTGCGTACGACTCAACGCATGACAATGTGACATGTCTGAAATAAAACTTGAAGGACATAGCTATTTGGAGCTGAAAGATTTTTCATTTTATCTTTCTTGAGTTTTCTATAATAGTGCAACGAAATCATGACATATTTTCGCGAACACCCTGTAACACACAAATAAAACAGCTCTGGACATCAAAAACAGTGGCTGATAATTTACATCACACCACTGATTGTCAATCCATGAAGTTTGCAGTTTGTATGGAAACTCATGAAAGCATATGAACGTCATCCGCCAGCCTGTCGCTAAAAATGGTCGGTCCGTCTCTCGGGTCCAGTGAGCCGTTACGCGGTGTGACCCTCAACGACGCTGGCTGTGTCGGCGGATCTCCGTGTCGCCGAGCGGTCAGCCGGAGCGCCGACCGGCCCGTGTCCGTCTGTCAGTCTGGCACGTCTGTCTCCGCCAGTGGCAGCGCCATCACCAACCGAACTATCTGCCCGGAATGGTCACAGCGACTGGGCTGTTACCGTCAAACAACCAAATAACGAACTTGCCAGCTACTACCGGCATTAATCATATCAATGTCTCGTGCACGTGTGACCGATCTTTGCATATGCGGGCGGCTGTCGGAGCTTAGGCGCTTCGTCACGGAGCCCGCGATGGACGGGCCATCCTGTTCGAGAGACGTCCGTCTCTGTATCAGTCAGTGCTCTTTGTGTTACTGGCTATTCTTTAGTGATGGATCTTACCTACTTAGGATCGGCATGCATGAAAACTGGATGTTGATGATAGCTACAAGCTCGTTCCGTTCAAACTAGCTACGTTCAATTACCAACGTCTTCCCATGAAGTTTCTGACGGCATTTACACTCAAACACGCTCACTGCTCAGCCCAGACTCGCGACACTACCAACTCTGAGACGCATTTTCACACCCTCCCACCGTTCTCACGGTCCTCACCTCTGGCTCGGGAGGTCATAGGAATGCGCCGAGTGACGATCCGTCTGATATCTCCCCTGGCAGTGATCCTGCCATCAACCGCCGGCCGTTTGACGGATTCTCCCCGTCACGCGGCCCATCACCCGGCAGAGAGTGTGACCCGACGGGCGCCGTGTGTTGCAGAGGTGCCGGTGTCGGTGCGTAAGACCGACCACCGATGGTCGTGGAGCGGCTGCGGCGATAACGCCGTGTACGGCTACAAGAAGTCGCGCCAGTTCCTGGAGGCGCTGTTCCGCCGCAAGGCTGACGTCAAAACGCTCATCATGCTGCACAATAACGAGGTCGGACGACTGGTGAGTGTGCGCTGCTGTTTCGCTGTTATACTGTTCCGCTGTCCCGCTGTTCGCTGTCACCTGCCCTGTCCCGCTGTCTCCACTACCCCGCTGCTAAGCCGTTCCACTGTTTCGCTGTTCCACCGTTCCGGGCCAACGCCTGTCTTCTCGTCCCCTTGCCTCACTGACCTGATATCCGGCTGCTGACCGTCGGGTATCGGGCCGCAGCATTACGCACTGTTGTTCATAGCCCTGCCTGCTCCGACCAATGCCCCTGCCACATTGCCAGTACGGCACAGTGTGGATATCCCAGCCATATGAAGCTGCCCAGCACCCCGCTGCCATTTCACCCCTGTCTCGCTGTCGCCCTGTTGTTTATAGCCGCGGCCCGGCGAGACTCCTCACTCCATCATCTCAACCATTGGTGCGACGGTGATGGAAGGGCATCACTTGGAAAAGGAAACCCTATCGATGGTGTTTGGGGATTCGACAGCAAAATAATGACCGAAAGAAAGCGTACTTCATCACGCATTCCCTTCCATTATTCATGCAAGGCAGGCGACTAGGTATATTGCCGTTGTCATGCCGAGTTTTCTCTTATAAGATATGATGGCAATTTGAATGGTGAATTCGGGATTCCTTCATCTTCTTCCCACGTTTAACCCTAAAAGCAGTTGCGTTTGAAACGCCTGTCACCCCCTCCCCCCACTATTTACTCACCTACCTAATTGATACGGTTGAAGTTCGAACGATCATCGAAGAACTTGAGAACAAAGCAATGGTAACTACATTTAAATTTGAATTATCTTGCAATGGTTCTGCCAGTACCTAGGTGATGTACTAATAACATTGTTTTCACACCGCCAAAAAGCAGCGAAACGTCTTTTTGAAAAGTACTCTTGAATCTGGATCCTTTCGTGATTCCTAAAACTGCCTAATAAGCAAATTAGCAGGATAGAAAGGAATTTTTTCCACACTTCTTTGTCCTTCAGCCCTTCGTGTCAGACAAGTCCGGTCTACTTTTACTGCAGACCATAAGTCCTGTACAGCTTGGCGCCAGATGAGACTAAAACGTATCTAAATTTACGGCTAATTGCTTTAGCGCAGAATCAGGGATATTTAAGTATACGGCCACCGGTACCATTGCCTACCTATGTATGCTTGTATAAGCTGCCTATGAGCCTGCACGATACCTACTACCAACGGCAGAAATGCTGTGTCTACCTAAAAGTGACCTTCCGTTCCCTTAGTATCGTACAACACAACACCTTTAAAAAAATGTCTTGCGGGGTATGGATCTGGCACCGCGTATAAAATAAATATCCATTCCCGTTTGTGCTCTTCAAGTCGCTCAGCGGTCTACCGACCAATCAAATTTGGCACATTTGTGAACAATTTTCAATAAGCATAATACATTTTTACGAGCCCGAAATAGATCAGGAAGTCTATGTAAGAGCATGAGTAGACGTTAGGCAACGCAATTGTAAATATATTGATATTTTGAATAGCATAAATCATGGACCTGCACGCTCCAGGCCCCAGGGTTATAATAGCCGTTTTCACGACGGCCATCTGGTAGGGGAGAGCGGGGCCAGTTGAAACACGGGGTCAGATGAAACATGGCTTTATTTTCAACAGTATGCAACATATGGCGTTGCCGACACCACTGCGCATCCGCGCTCGACCACTTCCTTTGTCAACGGCGTTTGGGCGACAAACGGACGGTAATTTTGATTTGACACTTGTTTTTGTGTTTTTGAGGGGCGTTTGGGAGAAATCGTTCTTATGAATATTTTGTGAGATCTCATATACCTTTGTTTGCTGAAAGAAGAACTCCTGGCTCCGGAATAACACCTTATTTGGCCCTTCATTCAGCATGATGACGTCCCTCCAGCTCGTTTGACATGTGCTTTACGGCGCGTGCGAGATGGCGGGAGCGGATGGGGTCAATTGAAACGCTTCTCTGAGGGTCAGTTGAAACAGGGCCACAGGCCGTTTCAATGGACCCCGGTGACCTTTGCAATGGTTATTGTTCAGGGGCTGTAGACATTAAAGGAAATAGTCCACCTTTGAAATGAGCTTTTAAACTGAAATAGTAGTTTAATAGAGCTCAATTTTTGACCCCTTTTTCTCCAGCCTTTTGCTTGAAAGCACACTATAGCCTGAGATATTTCTCATTTTTCTCATCCGCCCATTTTACCATAGTCTATGTACTTTATGTCACCTATTATGAGGAACTTTGCACTTTTAGCTTTCCAACGACCTATTGAATGTAGCATTTGGAAAAGTAAACCGGACAAAATATCTCCTTAAGAAAGTGGCCTTAAAGAGGAAAACATCCCATTGTTAAGGATAGGTGCAATTGACCCCATGGGCTGGTTCAATTGACCCTCGCATCGGGGTCATTTGAAACGGGCGTAGAGCTGTTTTATAAGCATGCGTTTGGCAGCAAAATATGTTTGAAACATAATTTTACGTATCTTAAAATAAAGCCAAAAGAGCATATTTTTTCATGGCATTGTGCATTTTTCGATATGACAACTAGATCTCGCTGTGCATGTCAATATATAAAAAGTGGTTCAACTGGCCCCGCTCTCCCCTACACATTTGGTGCACATCTGGTGCAGATCAGGTGCAGATTTGGTCAAATCAGGTTCAGTGCGTCTCTTAGTAGCTATCAGCTAGAATTGCACTAACTGCTTATGTGCCTGCTTTGTCATATTATCAGAGAGCATCATCGATTAAAACACTGAAATAAATTCATAACCCTCGCACGACCAGGCCATTTCTCATAACACGAACGACCAGGGGGGGGGGGTTGTTACGACCCCCCCTGGCGTTTCGAAACGGAAGGTCGTAGAGCTTAGCGGAAAAAAAAACAACGGATTGCTCTCAACGAGATCTCGCGATTGGTGGTATATTTTTTGGTCCTAGGTCAACATTTGACCTACTTATGACCGGTCAAAGGTCAAATTTTCCGAAAAAATCAAACTTTTTCAACTTTCCGCGGCGATTGCGGCAAAACGGTGGGAGATATCGACTTGAAACCTTCACTATCGTGTTCCTTGATCAATTCTCTATCGTTTGGTATGTATTTCGTTTCCCTAGCTCTAAAAATGGCGCGTTGGGAGCGCCGGAAGTCGGCAAGGTCACAGTCGGCGGCAGAAATTCGAAAAATCAAAATTCAAATTTTTGAAATCTGATTGTATTTTTGGATTTGGGAGGTCCATTTGCTCCCTATAGAAGCTAATATTGCTGCATATTCCCATTGAGGTGACAAGAATTAGCAAAATAGTGGTTCGGGCGCTTTTCAAAAATAGTACCGGACGCTGTTCCTCTTGTGACGTCATAGCTCCGTGACCTGACCTGACCCGGTCAATTTTCTTGCACCACACGATAGCCAATGCTTGCCCCAACATGCATGGGAAGTTTCATCATGATCCATCAAACAATGTGGGTATCACCGACAGAAAAACTAGGGATTCGGCGCACACGTTTGGTAACTGTCGGCCGGAGGCTGTACCTCTTATGACGTCATAACTCCGTGACCTGACATGACCCGATCAATTTTCGGCAAAAGATGCGCAAAGGTTGCCCCAGAGGGTATTGAAAATTTCAGCCCGCTACGACAAGCCGTTTAGCGTGCACTTCGAAAAAACCTCAGGGGGGGGGGTGATACAACCCCCCCCCCCTAGGCGTTCTAGGGATAAAATAAAGATATTTGCTGTAAAAGAGATAAGGTGCAGATTTGGTCAAATCAGGTGCACTCGCCGGAAAGCCCGTCGTGAAAACGGCTAATAGGTACTAAGTCGAGGAAACTTTTTGGCATCGGTTTAGCAGATTTACCGATCAGCCGTGCCTCTCTGACCCGTTTTCACCTCATCTGACCATGGCTCTCTGTCTGCCCTCAGGCGATCCGGCGGCACATGCGTCTGGCGTGCAAGTGTCACGGCCTGTCCGGCTCGTGCACGGTACGCACGTGCTGGCGCCGGATGCCGCAGTTCCGGGAGGTCGGCGACCGGCTCCGGATCAGCTTCGACAAGGCCGTGCGCGTGATGCCCGGAAACGACGGCAAGAGTCTGGCGCCGGCCGAGGAGGGACTCCGGCTCCGGCGCACACTCGTCTACGCCGAGAAGAGCCCGTCGTTCTGCGAGCCGAACCGACGGCTGGGCAGTCTGGGCTCGCAGGGGCGCCGGTGTCAGCTGGAGGGGGACGGGTGTCTGACCATGTGCTGCGAGCGTGGCTTCACCACCGTGCAGCTCAACACCACCGTCAACTGCCGGTGTCGCTTCCACTGGTGCTGCGAGGTCACTTGCGACAAATGTCCGCATGTGGAGACTCAGCATTTCTGCCGGTAGTGTCGCTCTTTGCCGCCAGAGGGGCGGGCGACGTCGGTGTTCGTGTCTAAATAGGTGTTGCTAGCATCGCTGTTGATTGAGAAGGGGTGATGTGCCTTCTTGATGCTGTGGTTATTTACGCGCTTATGAAGTGAGCCATGAGTGTCAGGGCGAGAGATGCTAGGTGTTTATATTGTTTTGAATGAAGTGTGATGTTGAGTGCAGGTCCATTTGTGATTTTAACCTTGAAATGCGCACGACTCAAGGCTGGCAAGTGCATAAGATGCCTTTATGTCTCATTTGCGGTGCCTAGAGCATTGGTGCCTGAGACACTCCCCAGACTTGTCTATGCTAAACGTACCATTCAGAAAATAATCGGTGTACCTACCTGTGCCGCTTTACCAGCTGTGTCGATGTGCATTCGAGTGCAATTTGAGCGACACGACGATAGCGAATATTGAAAATACATGTCATCCAAAGATGTCATTGCTGTTGAATGTTGAGAAACTGTTCGGCAATAAATGATCCTCTGCAATTTAGTTATAACTTCACTGTCGGGTGGAGGCCTGAGTGAACTCTCCATGGTGTCAAAGAGGGCTGAACGTCCCACACTGAGCCCGACCTAGCCGCACTATACGTCCTCGCTTCCAATGTGCTGCGACGAGACCACTATTCCCAGTGACGCCGGATTGTTAGTTTTGAGTTATGACATAGATGATAGTCTAGAAGATCATTAAGTGTTGGAGCCCTTGGAGGCGCCAGCCGCCAGGCGCTACTGGTGCTTCAGCCTTCAAGGTCCAAGTCAAACCAAGGTCCAGTATATGCACCAAGTATAAGTATGCACGACTAGGGCTGCGGAGTCGATGGACATTAGGTGACTCCGACTCCGACTCCGGCATCAAAAATCGACTCCTCGAGGTCATCATGTATATCATTCGATGCGTCTTGACGAGCTGAACACAATGAGACCATCCGCGCGGCTGTAGCTTGTTCCTGTACGGAGTTATTGGCAAAAAAAACTTTGGTGATCTTTGATGACGTCACATGACCTTACAGCTGCCCAACAGCAAAACAGACCTCAAGGTAGTGAAGGTTGATCGTATATGAAGTCATGTATGGTATTTGGGGCCATTCCGACCCGTTTTAGTGGTAAAAACATGGAGTTGATTTTCCCCCATTGACTTATAATCGAAAATTATGGTCGCGAAATTGACCTGACCTTAGGTCCCCGACATCAAAATTCCGAGATATACAAATTGTAGCTACTAATGACCTAATAACATCCTGCGACTTTCAAAGGCCTCCAACATCTAGGTACTGTAGCTCTGGCACGGTGACAAAGTTGCAAAAAAGTGACTTGAGGTTGGGTCATTCAAAGTGACCTGGTGACCTGACCTTAAAAGTTAGGAGGTTCACACTTGCACACCATGTGTAAAATTGATGAGAGAATAGTCGTACCAAATTTCGTGGCGCTACGCGCCGCGGTTTTCCCGCTATCCGCGAAAAACCTCAGGGGGGCGGATATCCGCCCCCCCCCCCCCAGGGCTGGTAAAGTGTTATGTCCTATTGACGTCGTCGGGCCTCGGGGACACAGTACCAGTAAAAGTTCAAGTACCCGGGGTCAAAATTATCACATTTAGTAAACTTTTACAGTAATAAATAACTTTCAAATAAAGCAGAAACTAAACGCAAGTAAAAGATATCATTGAATCCACAACGTATATCCCCTTTAACAAGGACATAAAAAGCCCCGGCTATACCTAATACATACCTACAACATGGTTATGAACAATTAGTAGCCACAACTCACTTCCGTTAACAGCAAAACTACCGTCGACAGTTGCTAACGAAAACTAGATCAAACTAGATGATCAAACACATACTAACAGACGCTTAGACACCGACCCCGCTGTCGGCTGTGCTATTTCAAGCGGGGTTGATTGACGACCAGTTGTAGCCAGCTATACGACTAGACAAACGACTAGATTCGGAACCGGGGTCGGACCGGTTGGACATGGTACATACATACATTCATGCGGGGTCGATAGTTTCTAGCCGTCGTCGTTGTGAGCTACCGATACAATAGCGACACCTATTGCATCTGTTCGACGATTGTAGCGCCCCCTACCCTTTTCGGGTTCTTCGTCTGTTACGCTACCCGCTGACCAAGTGATGCCGTGACATTTAATTAACAAACTGGAAATTTCGAAGCGCGAGTCTGATAAGCAATTTAGTACATATGACTGCTCGTAAAAAAAATAATATAGAAATGAAACCTAAGGAAACGCGCACCGTAGTTGCATGCAGCCTGCATACATGAATCGTAAAAAGGTCGGGGTCATTTTTCGCTCTCATTTTTTGGTCGGGGACGCAATTTGCTTTTTACCAGCCCTGCGCCCCCCCCCCCCCCCCCGTCGGTGCGCGTGTTAAACCATGCGACTCCGGAGTCGGATTCGGTAAGATTTTAGCGACTCCAATTCCGATTCCGACATCCGGGTAAAACTACCGACTGCAACCGACTCCGGTTCTGACTCCGACTCCGACTCCGCGTGCACGAGCAATGGTGCCAACTGCCAGGTGCTACAGCCCACAGCCCCGGCCCCTTTCCCAGAGCCGGAGCCCCAGCCCAAGATTCCTTTACTACTCCTCCAGCCCCTCTGGTGAAGGAGGCGAACAAGATTACTTTAGCGATGAGTATTTTGTGAAGGTTTTTAGATTTGGTAGCGCCAAAGTTTGCGCGGGCAAATTGAAAATAATCGTTGCAGCGTGGTTGCAGTCACAGCGCGCTGCGACAGTCCTGGTGTGCAGGAGTTTGCCTTTGTTTGTATTCAATTGATATGGATGTTTACGGGTATTTACGCACTTATTTTTTGCCGTTTTGTTGCTAAAAGCTTGGAAGTAGGTATTTTAAACCTAACCAAACTTACACCCGCGTACCACCTAGCTCAAGCTCTGGTATTGGTATAGAAGGTGAGGGGTGCCAAAGTCAAACTCAACTTATGGTCAAACTGACCTAAGATTTTATTTGATTGTCTTGCACCATTTACAATGAATTCAGCATATCAATCATTAAAACAAAAGCAGCATAGCACAATTTTTTGCTGCATTTGCACCTCAGCAATACCAAACCCAGATCAGGATGTTAAAGATTAAGGCATTTTTTCATTGACCGAGTCACTGATTGTACCTTGACCTATGCCTTGAAATTTTGAAATCAGTTCATTGAAGGCTTGTTTATTTTTATTACTTGTCCAGAAAGATGTGAAATATTGAAGGGAATAACACTAGACAGTGCTAGTGGAATGTGGATACTGGATAGGTACCTATGCTTGCTTTGCTCACAAGTTTTAGTGTTCCCTGCTTCCACGTTGATGTAGACAGTCCTTGGAAAGAAATTAATTAAGAAATTACGATGTTCCATATGCAATTACTTAAACAGTTGCTCACCCTTTATTTACTCTAAGCCTCTGCTCTGAATTTATACTAAATGTAATTAATGTAAATGTAAAATATTACCTAAATATTTTGAATTACAATGTAGGTATTTATCATTGTTTATGATATTTCAGGTCATCTGTCAACATCTGTATTTGATAAATCACTATGGCTGACAATCAGAGTGACATTTTCAAGACACCATCAAAGCCTGCAAGAAGAAGAGCCTCAAAGCAATGGAATGAAATCCTGATTCCAGAATCACCAATGATGAAGGTTATAGGTTATGGTACAGGTATGTGAGGAATTTCACACAAAAATGTTAAAAGGCTGGAGAAGTTGTGATGTTTAGAAGCTATCAAACAATATTGATGTCTCCTAAGTTCAATTTTCATTATAAGGGGACCTAGAATATCATTGTATTATTCATGTATCACTTGTGTTTGAGAGCATAGGCCTTTCTACACCTAGGCACACTAGAAATACAAAGGTCTGTAGTGAAAGTGATTTCTCCAATATTTATCTATATAGGACATGTAGCAAAACTTTCTCTCCAAAATCTTATTTTTTTAATGTAAGAACATTAGGGTCTTGGACAGGTAAAGAATGAACAGTTGTTGCTTTTTTCAACTCATCCTGCCATTTTATTTAGGCGAGGAAGCCAAATATGAATGAATTTGAATATGCGTCTTAATAACAAAAAGGCTTCTTGTCAAACCCCAATGACTGCTCAGGTCGTACCCATCGCCACCAACATGAATCTTATTGTTTATGGATTTATAATATTAGTTCTGATCTACCCTTTGGGCTTTGCCACACACTCCAGGGATCAACGTGTCGCTGCTGGAGCGCGGTACGCCGCGGCGCATCACGCAGCGCTCGCCGTGGGCCGTGAAGCGGCTCAGTCGGCGCGTGCACGTGGCGCCCGAGCAGGCGGCGCGGCTGGCGCGCGAGGCCGAGCTGCTGCGCCGCCTGCGCCACCCGTGTGTGGTCGGCTACCGCGGCGTGGCGGCCGGCTCGGCGCCCGGCTCCGTGGCGCTGCTGATGGAGGCGGCCTCGGCCTCGCTGATGGACCTGATCGAGACGCGCGCCGAGTCCGAGCCGGACCCGGCGCCCTTCCCGCTGAGCGCCATCGCCACGGTGAGTGCGCCTGCCGCGCGGTGACAGACACCGGCACGGGGGACCGGGCGGCGTGGGGAACCTTCTGGGGACGAGATTAGTGACATGGGTGGGTACTTGGCCAGAGATTGATTGACAGTGAAATGGACGTTTTACAATTGGACGAGCTCGTACTATAGATGCTCCTATCAATGCCCAGAAACAAGTGTGATTATAAACAGACTACTTATGCTTTGCCCTGCTGTCAACATGTGACCAACAATTCGTACCTACGACTAGCCGATCAGAGTCGCGCCGTCTAACTCATTCCCTGTCCCTCCAGGTTGGCCTGGACATCGCATCTGCTCTGCACTACCTGCACACCGACCAGCACCTGCTGCACGGCGACCTCAAGTCGGCCAACGTGCTGGTGTTCGGCGCGTTCCAGCGGGCCAAGCTGTGCGACTTTGGCGTGTCGCTGCCGCTGAACGATCAGCTTGCGGTCACCGGGGACCAGACGTATGTGGGCACGGAGCCGTGGTCGGCACCGGAGGTGGTGTTTGACGGAGACGTCACACACAAGACGGATATCTACTCGTACGCGCTGACACTGTGGTGAGTGGAGAGAGGGAGAGAGGAGGAGGGGTGGTGCAGTGGGTGGAGATGCGAGGCCCGAGAGTTATGCGGAGAGGTAATTACCGTAAGGTGGAGAATGGATGAGTGTGCCGTATTTAGCCTATACTCCTAGTTATTGGAGTGTAACATATTGTACAACAGTACATAAATGAGCAGTGACTGTCGGTGGATGGATACCTCCAAACTAAAAGCTAAACGTCAAAGGTGCAAATATGTTATTTTTGCCATTTCAGTACAATGCTGCTCTAAATTACCCTTATGGTGACTACTCTCATGGTCATTGGTCCCCCTGTGTAAACAGACCTTCCCTCGGCCGCAGCGCCCTGACTCCCTCTCCGCTCCGCTCCGACCGACAGGGAGATGTTCGCGCTGGAGATGCCGCACGCTTCCGACCTGCCCGACCTGGACAACAGCGAGCTCAGCTCTGACAGCGAGATGGACGACTCTGCCGGCTCGGACGGCTACTTCGAGTCTCAGATGGGCGTGCCGCCGCCGGTGCCGCAGCTGGACGCCGCACTGATGGCCGAGTACCGGCCGTTCGTGGAGATATATACCGTGTGCTCGGCAGTGCGCGCGGAGGACCGGCCGGCCGCCGAGCAGTGCTGCCATCTGTTCCGGCCGCTCTGCCCGCGCCCGGAGACGGACGGAAAGGCCGCCTGAGGAACGAGCGAGCGAGGGAGGGTTTAGTGGGATAGGAGAGATGGGAGGGGAGAAACGGACCAAAGGAGGATTGAGGTAAAGATCTTTGTGGGGTGGGATTGAGGGCCGCCATTGGGAATAATTATTGAATCATGGGAGTAGGTCTTAGAAGCTTGGAGGAAGGGTTCAAGTTCGCTGGGAAGGGGGCAAAGACAATCTTGGAGCAGAGGGTGTGGATTCGTTAGGACCAGATATGATTGGGCCCGCCGGGGGGGGGGGGGAGAGTATCAAGTCCTAACGATTGGAGGGATGCGACTTACGATAAGGGCTGGGTCTATAAGGCGGTAGTTGGGTTAGCAGCAGGGTCCGATGGAGTAAGTAGTTAGTTATCGGAGCTGGTACGCGGGACGGGAGGCAGCCGCGCCGCTCGGTCTCTGGTCGGTCTGCAGCGGTGTGTAGCCTCCGCTCACTGGTGATCCTAGCAGAGCGCCAAGCGGATGGGGTAGTCACCGTGACTGAGTACGCCATCCTGCGCTATCCGCTGAGAGCACGTCCGGACTGCCCAGAGGCGCCAGTCCGGTACGGAAATGATGGAATATCAGGATACACAAAGGATGCTGGCGTGTCACCTGATCATCTGTGGGGCATTCTGAGCGTTGGGACATGAGATGCTCTAGAAGTTATTCCATCAGCATTGTATATAGCCATTCGTTTCGCTTACTTTCGCCGTGTCTTCTTCGCTATCGACAGCTCACAAATGTGTGACATGATTTAACGAAGGGTCGCACCGCTAGCTTTGCTCTGGTGTTGGTTTCATCGCTGAGTAAATAATTCCGTGTATTATGTGTAATGTTGATAACTTGCGTCTTCCAAAGAGTGACAAGTGAACTGCTCACACCATCTAACAATCACGGCAAATGCAAACGCTACTTCGTGACAGTTCCGATTGTACACTGAGGCTCATTACAGTCTACAGATTCTGTTTCCATTTCCCGATTCGTCATTATGACCCCTTCGAATGTGAATCGCCGTGGGTTGTTGGACTTATATGGCCTTGGGTTGTTGGGTGACCCAAAACGCGCGCTGGTGGAAGTCGTCCAGGATATTAGCCATTTATATGGCCTGCTGTCGACTCGTCTCGTCATTAAATACAGAGCATACTACTTTTAAGGTTGTTCGGATTTTCTAGGGCATTGTATTACGTGAAAATGTGTTTGTCTGACGCCAGGACGTCTGGTAATTGCTAGGCGATACGCTACAGATGCTAACTGACTGAATGCTTCCTCACACCTTTTACTTGGTCGCAGCCTTGACCCACGGTGAGAACTTGAACCCGTGCACACTGCACACTGCCCTCGGGGGTGCACTTCTTCCCATTCGTCCCATACTGTTAGCGCCGCACGGCCCCCAGCGGCGGTGTCGTTGCGACGCCGCTCAGCGGCGGTGCCCTCCGCCTATGGTAACTACGCTATGTTGCTATGGTTACCGGATTGTTTGTTTTGTTTACTTTCTTTCGGCTCGATTTTGACAAGGTCTGGCTAGAATATGAATAATTACGAAAGATAAAGACGAAAGATGTGATTGATGACTGGCAAAAATGTTGTTTGAGTGAAAAGGAAGAATTTTGGCTATTGATTTAAGCATGAACACTGTTCGTTACGCCGGAGAGTGACAATTTGTCGGTAAGCACTAAATCGTACCAAATGTCGGATGCTATTGTGAAGCGCTTTGCTTATTATTCTGAAATTATCGTGATACGACTGACTAATGTTATGATACGGATGTATTTGTCTGGAACTTACCTTGTTTTGTTTGTGTGTATGCGTGTTTTAGTTACGGCTCGGCTCAGGCTCAAGGCTCCTGGCTCCTGTTGTACGAGGCTCTGTCTGGCCCTGGCGGTACGCGGCTGACTCAGGCTCAGGCCGTTAGCGCTGGAAGAAGGAGGAGGAATGGAGGAGAAAATATAGAGGACTGAGAGCCCGTGAACGACGTTTCTTATCGACGGCGCGCGAACATTTAGTAACGACAAATTTCAAGAATGCGACTTCAAGAACGGCAGCGGAAACGGCGAGTTCTCCAGCGCCATCAGACTTCAAGTTCTACAACGCGATAAGTGCCACAATGCCACTAGTTTCAGCAGCTTGCTTTGATGCTGTCGCCATTTGCGCATTGCATTGCCTACCAGATGAACTCTTGCTTTAAAAAACACTATTCGTCAGTGTTAATGCTCGTGGAACATTCGCGTTTGTTGACTGTTGCCGTTGGTACGACTGGCAGCCTGCACCGACTTCGCCAGAAGTACGAGTGTACCGTTGGTACTAAATGTTACTGATGATCAGTGCTGCCATGTTGAACTGCTGCCATTGGTACAAGTGCATTGTACCCATGTTATGCATAGAACGGTGCTGCCGTTGGTACGTTTCGCAGCCTGGCCAAAGCCTGGCCAGATATAACCTGATCGACGCATGTTGTGTACGGTACGGTGCTGCCTTACATTTTGCCGCCAGGGAATGTGAGCTTTGATAATAGGCTTGATTTGGTACAACATGATGTTGCCTTGGTACGTTTCACAGCCAGGCAATATGAGCTTTGACAATGGGTTTGTTTTTGGTACCATGTGATGCTGCCATTGGTAGGTACATTTGACAGTCAGACGATTTGAACATTGGCACAGGCCCATGTCGTCCCCTATCTCCGCGTGTGTCCACTAACACGAATGACGTCACGCATGTGGGCGGAGCTATGGGCGGAGCCTACCGCACGCGGCAGTCCAAGCCGCCATATTTGAATTTATATTTTAATAGAATCTTGCCGATATTTTGGGTGAAGTCAATTTATATGGATAGCTTGGTGACAGTTAAGCTATACGAATAATAATTTATTATGGATGTGCGTATATTCAGCTTGGAATTGCAATTAAAGTTCCGCACCGCATAGATTCGAACTCGGGACCTCTGGAATATTGCGCGGGCACGCTAACCACTACACTACCGCGACCGCGTGGCGGCCGGCGGCAGGGAGGCTGCGGAGACATGGGGGACATTTTACGCTTTTGTGAAAAAAGCAAAAGATTTAGCGAAAAACACGTAATAGATAACTTGTAGAAAATTGTCTGCTCTTTCAGATAAGATACTTAGGTTTGATATATCTTGTGCAGACTTCATTCTACAGTGCTTCGAAAATCGCTCATTTACATGGGGATTGAACGGGGCTTCGAGACTTGACTCCAAATGACGTCACGAGCTGACGTCACGAAAAGGTAGAATCGCCGGACGACCCTACCTGGTATATAGGGCCTTGCATTGGCAGTTATATGCTTCTTGGGTACAACATGGTACTGCCATTGGTACATTTCGCGAAACATTGACACGAGATGCACCCAACTATGACAGCTGCTGTTTATCAGTGCTGAACACATTTGGCATTACGCTTTCACATGCACATAGGTATATTAACATACATCAGCTATGGACATTGACATCGAGAAACTGGTAGTGCGGGACCTGAAGCGTGAGCTGGACGCCCGCGGAGAAGATTCCAGAGGGACCAAAGCTGTTCTGAAGGAGCGGTTGGCGCAAGTTCTGAGAGAAGAGGCGTGCTACAAGAAATCGGTGATGCCCGATGAAGATGCAAGAAGTCAAGCCGATGATGATCAAGAGTCGATCGCAACAAAGGAAGCGTTTCAGATGGACGTAAGAAGTCATGATGGTACTGATGCAAGATCAGTCAAGTCTACGTCCAGCAGAGCATCTGTCACGTCACAGAGAGCTACTGAAGCGGCCAGATTAGCCGGACTGAAGGCGAAGATGAATGCATTGAAGCAGAAACATGAACTTGATGAACAGATAGAAAACTTGCGCAGAAAACAAGAGGAAGTGCAACTGCTGGCTGAACTAAAGGAGTGTGAAGCCAAAGAAGCTGTGCTGGCACGATTTGAAGCACTTGAACATGAAGAAGACGATGAAGTTGGAAATGAACATAAGCAAGATGATGAAGCACATGAAAGTGAACAAGATGAAATGAAACATGACAAGAAGCAAGACAATGAAACGAAAGAAGACAGACATGCAGGTGCAGGAAGAGCATCTCATGACAAGTCGGCTGGCTCAGTTCAGCAAATGGATCTCAACACAACGGACAGGCTGGTGATGAGAAGAATCGGACTTCAGTCATTGGAGTTACGTGCGTTCGATGGAACCGAAGAAGACTTTCTACCATTCATCACAGCTTTCCAGTCTAACATTGCATGTAGGCTGGACAGAGAAGAAGAGAAGCTGATGTACCTGTTGCAGCTGACCAAAGGTAAGCCTCATGACATTGTAGCCACCTGCGTCTACCTGGGTGATGATGGTTACAGTGAAGCTATTCGTCTACTCAAGGTGAGATATGACAATGTGATGAAGTCCAGAGCATCAGTGATCGAGAAGATTCAAAACTACCCGCGCGTGAGATATGAAGATGTGAACGGCCTTGATGACTACTCAGTGTTTCTGCGAGGTGCTCTCAACGCTCTTCACTCACCTGCTTTGGCAGACAGTGGGTTTGATTCATGGATGATCTGCCAGGCCATTCAGAAGACGCCGTGGGTCGCTGATCGCTGGCGCAGAGCGGTCGACAGGATCGAACATGATCAGAGACGAGACAGAAGAGAAGACGGAGAAAGGAAGAGGACTGACCAGAGGCAGGTCAGTTTCAGAGACTTCGTCGAGTTCATCGAATCAGAAGCAAGAATCGTGTCCAACCCTGTCTATGGAAGACATGTGCTCAGTGCTCAAGAGAAGAAGGACACACGACCACAAGCCACGACCGTGCAGAAAGCACAGCAGCCTGCAAGAAAGGAGATGAAGAATTGGGAGCATCAGCTCCGCCAAGAACGAAGAAGTCGAGCTTACGCAAGCAACATGAAGCAACCGGCCAAGTGTGCCTACTGCGAGCATCCTCATGACCTGGAGACTTGCAGAGCTTTCGGGGCGAAGACTGAGGAAGAGAAGACTGACTACATACGTCAACATGGACTATGTTTCGGCTGCTTACAGGAAGGACATATCTCCAGGAACTGTCAGAAACGAAGCCGCTGTAAGAAGTGCGAGAAGTCGCATCCTACAAGTATGCACAGAGATGCGCTGCCCAACGCCAACGTCGTGACGGCAGGACATGTGTCACAAGAGTGTGAAGGCGGTGGAAAGCTGCAGGTGCTTCCAGTATCAGCCAACGTCAAGGAACGGTCCGTGCTGACTGGAGCCTTCATAGACCCTGGCAGTACGCACTCATTCATCTCACGTAAGCTTGCAAGTCAGTTAGGCATTCAACCAGACGAGAAGACATATGTAGTCATGTCCACCATCAATGGAGAGCGAAGAATGAAGACCTCGTTGGTCACTGGTGTCAGTATTGGAACTGAAGATGGTGGCAACCAAGTTGAACTTCCAGCGTTGTATGTTCTAGAGCACATACCGGTGGAAAAGCAAGACATCGTACGACAAGAAGACATCAGCAAGTGGCCACATCTCCGACAACGTGGAGTTGAAGCTGGTTTTACTGAGAAGACGACATCAAGAGAGATCGGCCTGCTCATCGGTGCAAACGCCAGCGTGGTGTCAGAACCATTGGAAGTGGTGAGCTGCCCAGGCCAGAAGGGCCCCTACGCCGTCAGAACCAGATACGGTTGGCTGGTCTGTGGCGTTGAGGGGAAGAGGGGACCAGGTGCACACGTCGCGCGTGTCAACCGCATCAAGATGCTGGAAGATCCCGAGCTCGAGTTCCTTGACAGCCATGATAGTCGCAGAGGCTACTCAGTCGAGGACGTCAAGTGGTGCCTCAAGGTGGAAGATACATGCAAGAAGGACGGAGAGAAGTACGAAATCGGTCTGCCATTCCGAGATGCGAAACCCGATCTGCCAGACAACAGAGTGATGGCAGCAAGACGACTGGAATCACTGAGAAGAAAGTTCGAGAAGGATCCAAGATAAGCAGCTGACTACAAGGAGCAGATGAAGAAGCTTCTGGATGAAGGATATGCTGAGGAAGCAGCACCAGACTCAGAAGAAGGAAAAGAAGGGCGCTGGTATATCCCCCACCATGGGGTGTATCACCCGACCAAAACAAGCTTAGAGTAGTTTTTGATTGCAGCGCGTCATACAATGGAGTGAGTCTAAATGACGTACTCATGCAAGGCCCGAACCTGACGAACTCCCTGGTGGACGTATTGGTCCGCTTTCGACAAGAGACGGTAGCCTTTACCGGTGACATCGAGTCCATGTTTCTTCAGGTGATGGTACCGGAGAGCGACAGGAACTATCTGAGCTTCCTGTGGTGGCCAGAAGGCGACACTTCTTCAACACCACGTGTCTTCAGGATGACAAGACATCTGTTCGGAGCGACATCCAGTCCCAGTTGCGCGAACTACGCTCTTCATCGGACGGCAGAAGACTTTGGCACAGGATACACCCCCGAAGTGAAGAAGACACTGCAAAGAAGTTTCTATGTGGATGACGTATGCCAATCGACGACGTCAGAAGCCTCCGCTGCGAAGATGGCGCAGGACCTGAAGCAGCTGTGCAGCATGGGTGGCTTCCGACTCACGAAGTTCAACTCCAACAGCACCGAAGTTCTGACAGCGCTATCAGAAGATGACAAGGGAAAGACTGAAACTCACCTTGGACAGGAAACCTCTTCAAGCGAGAGAGTCTTAGGTGTACTCTGGGATACTCACAGGGATGAGCTTGGATTCAGCATCGACGTAGACGCTCTCAACAGAAGACCACGTACTCGACGCGGAATACTCTCCGCGACCGCAGCCTGTTACGACCCGTTAGGCCTGGCTGCTCCTCGCGTTCTTCAAGGACGGATGATTCTTCAGGAACTGACGCGTCTACGAACCGGCTGGGACGATGACATTCCCAATGAAGTTGAAGAAGAATGGAACAGATGGCTGAATGGGTTGAAGTCCCTGCCAGACGTTCGCGTGCCAAGATGTTATGATCCGTATGGCATAAGTGCCGCGGATGCAGTGAGTCTGCACCACTTCAGTGACGCCAGTCTGAAGGGCTATGGCACCGCGTCATACATACGCACTGTGCGCGGAGATGGTGAAGTGTTCTGTTCCCTGGTTCTTAGCCGAGGCCGAGTCGCTCCGCTCAAGGCGATTACGGTCCCGCGTCTTGAACTAGCCGCAGCCAAGCTTGCCGTAGACGTGAACCAAGAGCTCTTGCGAGCACTGGACATGAAGATCCATGACGTCACCTTTTGGACGGATAGCACGACCGTGTTGCGTTACATCGAGAACGAGACCTCGCGCTATCACATCTTTGTGGCGAATCGACTTGCTGCGATACACGCTGGGTCGAAGAACGAACAGTGGCGGTACGTACCCTCGTCGCTGAATCCTGCTGACATGGTTTCAAGAGGAGTACTGCAAGACAGCGACATGTGGTACAATGGCCCGCCATTTCTCAGGAGCTCACAGGAGAATTGGCCAAGGTCTCCGTGCGTCGGTGAGACTCACCCGGATGACCCGGAAGTGAAGCAAGCGAAGACAAGTTCGGCAGCTGTCGTTGTGCAGAACGAGAAGGCTGACAACTCCAGCGCCAATCCCATCGATCGTCTGATTGAATATCATTCGTCATGGAAGAGACTCACGAGAGCGGTGGCATGGATCCGCCGAACGATCAAGACTCTGCAGCTGAAGGCCAGAGACAAGCAGGGAGCCTCGAATGCGAGGGAGCTCACTCCTGCTGACATAGAAGATGCCGAGAGGATCATCGTGAAGCATGTTCAGAAAACTCATTTTCTGCAAGAACTGATTGACCTGGGAGTGGGACGCGAGGTGCGATGTGCCAGTCGTCTGTCGCGGCTGAGCCCATTCGTGGAGGACGGTCTCATCAGGATGCGCGGACGCTTGATGAACTCTGCGTTGGACTGGGCTGCCAAGCATCCTCTGATTCTCCCAGACAAGGACAAGGTAACCGACCTGATCATCGCAGATCGTCACGAGAGGGCAGGACACGAAGGACGTCAGTATGTTCTTTCTGAACTCAGGACTCGATACTGGGTACTGAAAGGGAACAGCGCAGTACGACGGTGTTTGCACAGATGTGTGAAGTGCAGAAGACGACAGCGCCCAGTTGAGGGACAGAAGATGGCAGACTTGCCACAGGATCGTGTAGAGGAGGCCACTCACCCGTTCAGTAGCACTGGTGTAGATTACTTCGGGCCGCTATACGCCAAGAGAGGTAGAGGTCAGGTGAAGAAGTTTGGAGTCATTTTCACATGCCTCAGCACGAGAGCCGTGCATCTCGAGCTCGCAGACAACCTTTCTGCGGACTCATTCATTTGTGCCTTGCGCCGCTTCATTGCAAGACGCGGGAACGTTCGCCTGATGCGTTCCGACAGGGGAACGAACTTCACAGCAGCAGACAAGGAGCTGAAGGAAGAAGTTGATGCATTGCACGCGAACGAAGAGAAGTTGAAGAGAGCGATGCTGAACAAGGGCATCGAGTGGATGTTCAACGTTCCTGCCGCTTCCCACCACGGCGGTGTGTGGGAGCGTCTCATCAGAGGCGTCCGGAAGATCCTGAATGGTCTGTTAACCAGCCAAACATTCACAGAAGAGACGTTGCACACACTCTTGTGCGAAACCGAGTGCATCATGAACAATCGGCCGCTGGTGCCGGTTTCGTCGGACCCTCGTGACGAGGTGCCTCTGACTCCGAATCACATCCTGCATTTGAAGTGTGTGACACCGGTATGTGATTCTTCAAGTGAAGATGACCTGGATGGACCCAAGAGATGGCGACAAGCTGCTTACCTAGCTGAGCAGTTTTGGCGTTCGTGGAGACGGCTATACTTGCCTCTCCTGCAGCAGCGATCTCGCGCTGCCACGAGAAGTCGGACGAACCTGCGGATCGGTGACGTCGTCGTCATGGTAGACTTCGTAATTCGTAATTCGTAATTCGTAATTTCGTAATTCGTTTATTAAACGAGACGAATCGGTACCACGCGGTGTGTGGCCGCTGGGTCTCGTGAAGGAGACCCTGATGGGTAAGGACGGGCGTGTGCGCTCTGTGAAGGTCCGCGCTCGAGGAACCATGTTCCTGAGACCTGTCACGAAGGTAGTGAAGGTTCTGGGCGCAGAAGAGCAGTCTTGGTGAAGCGATGGAGCTGCAGCTAGTAGCTACACTGTATAACACAGCATGAGTCTAGCAGCACACCGCTAAGTCATTGACACCGGACACTTTAGATCATGACACGCCACACAGGCTCATGACACAATCAGAATGATAGACATCAGGAACGGTGCATGTATATAGGATGCGTTCTACTTGCGTGTGTTGATGCTGATCTCAGCGACGCTTGTTTCGGTAGGCTGTGCAGTGTGCCTATGTGTTGTTATATGTATAGTTAAGAAGTTGGTTTTGAACCTGGATGGTTCAAAGGGGGCGGGTGTTAGCGCCGCACGGCCCCCAGCGGCGGTGTCGTTGCGACGCCGCTCAGCGGCGGTGCCCTCCGCCTATGGTAACTACGCTATGTTGCTATGGTTACCGGATTGTTTGTTTTGTTTACTTTCTTTCGGCTCGATTTTGACAAGGTCTGGCTAGAATATGAATAATTACGAAAGATAAAGACGAAAGATGTGATTGATGACTGGCAAAAATGTTGTTTGAGTGAAAAGGAAGAATTTTGGCTATTGATTTAAGCATGAACACTGTTCGTTACGCCGGAGAGTGACAATTTGTCGGTAAGCACTAAATCGTACCAAATGTCGGATGCTATTGTGAAGCGCTTTGCTTATTATTCTGAAATTATCGTGATACGACTGACTAATGTTATGATACGGATGTATTTGTCTGGAACTTACCTTGTTTTGTTTGTGTGTATGCGTGTTTTAGTTACGGCTCGGCTCAGGCTCAAGGCTCCTGGCTCCTGTTGTACGAGGCTCTGTCTGGCCCTGGCGGTACGCGGCTGACTCAGGCTCAGGCCGTTAGCGCTGGAAGAAGGAGGAGGAATGGAGGAGAAAATATAGAGGACTGAGAGCCCGTGAACGACGTTTCTTATCGACGGCGCGCGAACACATACCATACAGTAGCGCCACCTACAACAAACTGATGCTTCTGATCTTTGCCGTCAGTGACGCTGTTGTTCGCTTACGTTGACATGTGGGACTGTTTCACTCATATGTTTCACTGCTGTTTCAGCTTGGCGTCATACACAAGGCCCGCTACGGCCTTGAGGCCCGCAACCACCCGCAACTGCAAGTATTTATATACACTTGTGTGCAAGGCCTTTATATACACTGGCCTAGTTTGAGTGGTGACTGGTGGGCGTGCATGTTGATTGCATTATTTATTAGCACCATGGATCATGGATTGCAAGGCCATGGTGGGTTCTATAAGGCGTTAGTTCCCGGGGTATATTGGTTAGTTCTACAGCCTTGGGCTGTGTGCGAAGTGTGAAGAGACTGTCCAAACTGTAAGGCAAAGGTACTGGTCAATCTCTAGTCCTTGCAACCCTCGCAACTTGCAGGTGAAAAGTGTGAAGTTCAAGTTTGAGTTAACTGTGTTACTGTACTGTGTGATGTTACGAACAAAGCATACATGCATTATAGGTAATAGCCGGGTGTTGTTGATATGGTGGCGCCCGAGGCTAACGAGTTCGTGCAGCACGTGTTTTATTTAATTTCAAAATGTAGGACAAACATGAAAATGTGTTGTGTGTGGTCAAAAATGTAGGCTTAGTGTTGAATGTTTAATTTTGAAGAGGGATATCTTTAAATACAATGCATCGGCCTCAAAAGAGATTTTAAGTTTACAACATGGTCCTCCGGGCCGGATCTTTAGTAACCAGTAATTCTAATGGATCCGTGTTTTTTCTTTGTTTGGAATGATATACGGGTAAAATGAGTAGCACAACGGAATCATTAAAAACCCGTAGTGTCGTGTCTGCTTCGTCGAGAAGTTCCACGGTAAGGCGTGAGGCAGAGCTGGCCAAGCTTCGTCTGTCACAGCAGCGACAACGAAGCGAGCTGGAGCGACAGCTTCAGGAGGCTGAGCGGCGACTGAAAGAGTCCGCGCTCGCTCATGAGGTCGAGCTTCTCGAAGCGGAGGCAGACCTCATTGAACGGGACGAGCGGGATGTTAGTGATGACGAGCGTGTGCGTGGCGGCGGCGACTCCAGAGTGCAGTCGCCCGCGGCAGCCGGACAGCCGCCTCCCACTGCTGTCACGGACCATCAGCCGCCGTGTGACGCGGCACCGGTGACTGCCGCCGATCGCACCAGCCGCTGGATCAGCGAGCTGGGGAGCCGGGCCTGCTCCCCGGAGAGAACGCCGCCTGGAACCTGGATCGACCAGCTGCTTCCCTCCACACGTCCTGAGATGGGTAAGCCAGGACAGCACTGCACGGCCGCAGCACCCTCTCCTCTACCAAGACTGGCGCTAGAGAAGTTTCAAGGTGACCCGCTGCAGTGGCCCAGGTGGAGCGCTCTGTTTAAGTCTTTAGTTCATGATAGACGCGAGCTGTCTGACGCAGAGCGACTGACCCACCTTCAGACGTGTCTCGAAGGGCCGGCACGAGACGCCGTCAGTGGCCTCCTGTGTGACGGCTCCCTTTACGGAGAAGCTCTCCGCGAGCTACAGGAGCAGTTTGGTGACCCGACGGCGGTTGTGAGGTCCAGCATTCGTCAGGTGCTACAGCTGCCTCCTGTGACGGAACACAGCCTGACTGGTCTGGCCGAGCTGTCCCGCGCCCTGCACGCCGCCGTCAGCGTGCTGCGGTCGATGGGCTACCACGCTGACCTCGCAGCTACCTCTAATATCGCAGCAGTCGTCTCGAAGTTGCCTCTGTCACTCGCATGGAAGTGGGGAGAGGAAGCTCTGGCGAAGAGACCTGCGCAGCCTACCCTTGGAGAGTTAGACAACTGGTTAAGAAGACAGACGCTAGCTGCACGTGCAGTACGAGACGAGCCAATTGAGAGAAGCGACCATGAGGGTCGGGACAGCAGACGGGACGGGACACTATCGACCTCGAGACGGGACTCTATCAGCCGCAACAAGAGTAGACGAGACGGAAGTCGCGGAGTGGCTGCCGGGGCCGCCGCAACCCGCACGGCCGGCATATCTGCTGTCGCGTCGGCGCCGTCTTCCCCGTGTAGCTGCTGCGGCGGTGGCCACGGGTTAGACTCATGCGAGGAACTCTTGCTCATGAGTTTGACCGACCGAATGCATGTCGTCACTCAGGCGCGGGCGTGCTACGTGTGTCTCACGACTGGTCATACCGCGCGCAACTGCGGGCTGAGGAGAAGATGTCCTGTGGACGGGTGTGACCGGTACCATCACCAGTTACTACACGGCGCTGCGGCTCCAGCCTCGAGTATACCCGGCGCTGGCAGTGCGATGGCTCAGCTCTCGTCCGTCCGACCACACGGGGGTATGGATTCTGTGACCCGGGTGGGCACACAGACCACCGCCGGAGCTGACGGATCACCGGCAGCCGGTAGGGCTCATCTGATCCTGCAGGTGGTGCCGTTAACTGTCCACGGACCGAACGGGAGTCGCAAGATAAACGCTCTGTTGGATCTGGGAAGCCAGATATCCCTAGTGACGGAGAACCTGGCAGGTCAACTGGGTCTGACAGGGCCAGTGCAGCCCCTGCGGATCGCCACTGTCGATCACACCACAGCCAGGCCATCACGGCGGGTTAAGTTTAGTGTACAGCCTATGGAGTCCGAGGAGTCGTTCGAAGTGGTGGATGCACAAACAACTCCTACGCTCAACATATCCGGGCAGGCCGTGAACTGGCCGTCGGAAAAGTTGAAGTGGCCACATCTGGCGGACCTAGGCCTCCTTGAAGCGACCTCGGAAGGAGTGGAAGTTTTGCTCGGAGCCGATGTATTTGGCCTGATTGTGCCCCGTGAAGTCCGAGAGGGCCCATCAGGGAGCCCGTCGGCGGTGCGCACACGGCTGGGCTGGATAGCAACCGGTCGCCTTCCAACGCTCTACCGAGATGACACGCGGCTGGTTCACCACATCCGCGCGCCAGATGATGACGTTCTACACAGCCAGGTGGAGCAGTTTTGGACGACAGAGTCATTCGGCACTAAGTACAGCTCGCCGCCGAGGAGGTCAAAAAAGGAAGAGGCGGCGCTCCAGATGCTGGAAGCTAGCACGATATTGAGGGACGGCCACTACGAGACTGGTCTGCTATGGAGTCGACCGGACGTCGAGTTGCCCGATAATCGTGCTGCCGCCCTCACACGGCTGCATCACACAGAACGGAAGCTGGATCGAGACGCGCGGCTGGCACGTCGGTACACGGACGTCATCGAGGGCTATATCAAAGACGGATATGCGCGAAAGGTTACTCCTGACGAGATAAGCCGGTCAGAGCGTCAGTGGTACCTGCCCCATCACGGTGTCATCTGTCCAAAGAAGCCAGACAAGCTGCGGGTGGTGTTCGATGCCGCCGCCCGCTGTCGCGGAACGTCTTTGAATGAAAACCTTCTGACAGGGCCCGACCTAGCTAATAGTCTGGTCGGCGTCCTCCTGCGCTTTCGACAGAGGCCATTTCCGGTATCAGCTGATATTCAGGCCATGTATCACCAGGTACGAGTCACCGAGACGGATCAGCCGGCGCTGCGCTTCTTGTGGCGGGGATTCGACCGGAAGCGTGAGCCGGACACGTACCAAATGCAGGTACATGTGTTCGGAGCTGCGTCGTCCTCGTGCGTCGCGAACTATGCGCTCAGAAAATGTGCTTCTGAGAACGCTGTGGAGTTCCCAGAGGCGGCGGCGGCTGTGGAAAGACGGTTTTATGTGGACGACTACCTGGATTCGCTGGACACAGCAGAGGAAGCTGATCACCTGCAGAACACGCTGACTGCCATGCTGAAACGGGGAGGCTTCCATCTCACCAAGTGGGTAACACCCCACAAGAGGGAAGCCGATTCAACTCAGCGGGATCTGGATCTAGATGACGCACCGATGGAGAGAGCGCTGGGAGTATACTGGGACGTCGGATGCGACTGTTTTGTTTTCATGGTGACGAAAATGGACAGAGAATGCACTAAGCGCTGCATACTGAGCCAGGTATCGTCCATCTTCGATCCTCTGGGGATGGCAGCGCCGTTCGTCATGCGTGCGAAGGGGCTGCTGCAGCGCATTTGGATGCAAGGATACGACTGGGACCAAGAAATCGACAATGAAGACCTCTGCAGCGCCTGGCACGAGTGGCTGGACGACCTCAGCGACCTTGACATGTTCTGCATGAACAGGTGCTATCGTCCGACCGCCGCTCCGCCTGTGGACTGTCAACTGCATGTGTTCTGTGACGCGTCCCTGCTGGGTTACGGAGCTGTGGCGTACTTCCGACTAAGCCTGGAAGATGGGAGCGTCTGGTGCTCGTTTGTAATGGCGAAGTGTCGAGTGGCACCCGTTCGACAGATGAGTGTCCCTCGGCTGGAGCTGCAGGCCGCAGTTCTGGCTGTCCGACTCTCAGCCCAGCTTGGCCAGGAGCACGACGTTCGGATCGACTCTGTGCACTTCTGGTCCGATTCACGCACCGTACTTCAGTGGATTCGTAGCGAAAGCAGGCGATTTCACACATTTGTCGCGAACAGGGTCGCAGAGATACACGACTCGTCGGCCGTCGAAAGCTGGAGACACGTACCCGGCGTCATGAACCCGGCGGACATGCTTTCCCGAGGATGTCTCGCGGCTGAGCTCTGCCAGGAGGGCTCTGACTGGCTGAGGGGTCCCGGCTTCCTCTGGCTGCCGCCGGCTGAATGGCCGGTGGAAAGTCGCACGGAAGAGGAGGATCACACAGAGGACCGGTGTGCCATCACGGTGACGACGACTCTCGAGCCGGTCTTCGACCCTGCCGACTACTCCTCGTGGCTGAGGCTCCTCCGCGTTACTGCGTGGACTCGCCGATTCGCAAAAAACTGCCGAATGCCGAGAACAGATCGTCACTACGGTCCACTAACCGCGCCAGAAATTCATGAAGCTGAGTTATCCTGGCTCCGCCGCGCGCAGAATGATGATTTTCAG